TTCAACCATATCCTCAGTGATGGGGCATCCGTACATTTCCAACATAAAGCGATAGCCCTCCTGGCTTGAAGAAGGCCAAAATCCAGAAGCTTGGTTTGTTTTGAAGTCTGTTTGAAGTCCTTTGGATATATTCCATGTACACAAAGTTTGACGTTCAAAGGGACATTAATGTTAAACAAACTCTGCCAGACACCTAATAACATCCTTCCAGAAGATTTGAATTTGTTGACATTCCCAAAGACAATTAAATAAAGTTCCTTTCTCATCCAAACACTTATATATATATATACATATTGTCAGACATATGATGAAGTTTGACAGGAGTTATGTACATTCTCATTAACCATTGATTCTGAAGTAATTTGAACCTAGTATTTACTGTCTGACTTTGTGCTTTTAGGCAAGCAGCATTCCAATCTTCCTCATCAATATCCTCTTTTATATCTGTTTCCCATGCACTTCATTTATCTAATGCTGATTCAGTGTCGATACAAAATATTTGATTTGATTTGATTTATTTCAAATGTGTAAAACAATAATACAACAATTTAACATGAGAATTATTATACAATACAAAATTAATCATCAAATTGATATACAAAAATATTACTGATTCTAAATTATGTATAAGCAAATAATCGACTTAATTAAACATCTGAAAAGGGGTGGGAAGAAGTTTACACTTATTCACATAATAACAATATCATAACAATTAATAGTAAAACATACTTTTATATTAGTATTTGACATGTTTTAAGTGCTCTTGATTTCAAAACCTTCCTATTCATGTCCCACTTTCCCCCTTGTCTGTGGAAATCCGATCGGTACACACTAAGATTTGTTCCTTAAAGCACCGTACAAACAAACCTGACTTTTTTTGACACACTCTCACTCGTCAGCACACACACAGCTGCTAGATGATCAAGCAGCCTCACAAGACCCCCGTTTCCTGCAGAGAGGGTGCTGTGGCTGCCAGGTCATTATCCCCCTGCAGCCCCTCTGCAGAATGCTAATGGTATTTACAGGAGGGAGAGGGGAGAGGACACCAGCGGCAGGTGCAGCTGCTGGAGCATCGTGCTGCTCTGAGGGGAAAAGAGGGGGCATTGTGGCCGTTAGGTGATGGGTAATCAGTCAGTCTGAGATCAGATAAACATCCTCGCTTGCTTTGTGTCGGGCTCACTTGTAAACTGCATGCTCACAATTTGAGACACAATACAGTGTTTATCACTGGACAAACGGAGTAAAATAGGACAGTTGTGGGGATGTTGTGCAGGTTTGATTAATTGAATGACTAAAATAACTAAATAAGCAGTGATATTGGCTTTAAGTTATGTTAACAATTATTTACACAGCACTTATAGTCACGACAGTGCTTCACAATAAAATCTGGATCAGTTTTAAGTAAATGAACGATGTATTTACACGTTAAGGTGATCAATATTTAGTTAAATGTTTCAAAATTAGATCAGTAAAGCAAAGGTAGAATACAGGAACATATTCACACTTTTATTTCATCATGGCTGGCCTTTTCAATTGTTTACTTTATGGGGAATTTTCATAGTTTTAAATAAGTGAGGAATAATTGTATTAAGTATAGATGCTCCAGAGTGAGCTGTGTTAAGTCTGAAGTTCCCTAAGTGATGTCACTAACAAAACAACATTTGATAATCATCCCCAGTAAAAATATTTAGCAAATAAAAAACAAATACTCGTTAAGTTATTTTACACCCTTCAATTTCTTAAAGTCACACTTTTCTTTCACATCTCTTTATCACTTTGTGCAAGGATTGTCTTTCTAATTAGTGGTAATGTCATACATACAAATGTTTTACTCCATAAGCACAGAGAAAATGTTACCTCTTTGGCAGATTAATGTAAAAAAACATCTTTCAAGATTGAAAACATTCCTTTTCCTGCAGACTGAAAGCCGAACGTCCATCTGAAATAATAAGCAAAATACATGTTGGAGTGATGGAAGTCTAAATGTATTTATCATTTCAACAAGGGACTTAATCACATGTGGTTTAGTGTTGAATTACAGGGTTGAAAATATTCATTGAGGTCTGAAATGTTAGAACTGTCACTTCAGCTGCTTAATCCAGAACCATGTGAGAACAAAATCTCCATTTGGCTGAGAAAGGGATTGGGAAAGAGAGCTGAACAACAGAGTAAATATTTGGCAGTGGAGAGCTCTTGGGAGATGCAGAGGACCCTCTCCTAGTGAAGCCTGCGGGTGTTAAATAGATTAAGTGTCATTGTGGACAGAGAAATTCCCGCTCTTTGGACATGACTTCTCTTTGCCTTTGCGTGTTTTTGCTCTCCAATAGAGTGCACTCTGTAAACTATCCACTCCAGCAAACTTGTGGTACTGTAATCCTCTGGTGTTTGTCCACCGCTGTGAGGCTGTTGTGTACACAGACAAGGATGCTAGAAGGGGAGTGATTCCTCTATGTGTTTGTTAAAAGCACATTTCTTTATAAAAATCTGCTTAAGCTTAATACAGTTTGTTTAGCACGTGTGCGTACAAACCGGAGATAATGTTGATTTCACAGCATTTTTTGCCTGCTAATACAGGTCACCGACTTGGTTGAACTCTGATTATCTAAAGGGAATTTAATACGTCTTGAATCACACATGTAATATTGCTCCGGACTATAGACTTGGCGGCAGTAGACGCAGAGTAGTAGATAGTGTCCCAGATCCCATTCAGCTCCATTCAGAACCATGACAACACGGAACAAGCTCGGATTTATCCTGCAAAGTTAAAGGACATTGTGCCGGGGCGTCAATCAGGCATTATTGCGGGACTGAACAAATGCAAAATCTTGACTGGAACAAATGCTTCCAACGGGTCTCGGACGCGGGGCTACATTTTCCCCTTTTGTTCCCCTCCTCTGGTTGGCATGTATTTGTGTTCACTCTCGTCCGACCACCCAGGACGCCAGGGGAGGGATGTCCACCACCAGCACTATGCTCCGCGGCCTCATGCACCTCGCTGAAGTGGATGAGGGTGGATATCAATATCAAATACAGGGGGGTTTTTGCATTTAATGCGTTTTATATTTGTGGAGCCAGAAAAAAGAGAGACTATATCAGCCTGTAGGCGTCAGAGTGGGAGGAGAATGATAGCATCAGGATTTTTAACATTTTAAAATCAAATGAAAGAGATACAAATCTAGAAAATATATTATATATAGAAGCCATCGTGTTCTGCGTGTTAAGCATGATGAATTGTTAATGGTTTCTATTGATTACCAATTAATACAATCTTTGTCAGCAGTCATCGGTCACTGATCCAATTTTTCATCTGAGTCAGGTGCTGTTTGGGTGTTCAACTAAACGCAATACATTCTCTATTGTATAATAAATGGGCCTCTGCAATACAATTATAATTGTATTGTAACACTTTAATTTAAAGCCCTTATTCTACATGAACATGCATGTTACATGTATCTTCATGACACACTTTTATTACAGAAGTGCCAATATAACTCCTTCTATTCAGACACATTTTGTATTGTCTTATTTCTATATTATCTTATAATATTCTTTCATTAACTTACTTATTGTGTTTATAACGGGTTTAAAACGGTTGACAATAAGCGAATTCATACTTACCTTTGCTTTTAACAATATTAAAGTATGTTCAAAAACTACTTGAAAATGTTGGAAAATGTTTTACCATTTTGAAAATGTGTATAGTTATAATATATATCATCATAAATCATCTAGAAAACTCAAAGGAAAGAATTTCCTGTTGAGCTTCACCTAAACATGTCAAAGGAAGTTTCCTCCACCATCCATAAAACGTCAAAACTTCTCACGCTGTAATTAATACGCCTCTAATGGACGTATTAGTTAAACCAACTTGCGGGCATCACGCTAATTGCTCACTTTGTATGCAAATATTGGACACGTTGTTGNAAAGCAAGACTCCTTCCTTTTGTATTCCATGATTGAAATCCTCCATCTCTTGTCTCAATGTACTCCTGTTTGGGGCAACGAGCAGTTTGCACCTGGGATAAGAGATGGAGGATTTCAATCATGGAATACAAAAGGAAGGAGTCTTGCTTTCTTTTGATCAGCTATGAGCAGATATCAAATCCCTAAAAAGCACTAAATATTTACAGTTAAGAAGTGACATGTCATCAAAACACAAACAGATAATGTCTGTACCACCTTTATCGAAACTTGAGGAAATAACACTTGCCCATTTGGAAGGAAAGGGCCTAGTATCTAAATTCTACAACATGATGGTTGCATCTGACACTGAATCAGCATTAGATAAATGAAGTGCATGGAAAACAGATATATAAAAGAGGATATTGATGAGGAAGATTGGAATGCTGCTTGCCTAAAAGCACAAAGTCAGACCATAAATACTAGGTTCAAATGACTTCAGTATAAATGGTTAATGAGAATGTACATAACTCCTTTCACACTT